TGGCCAGGAACTGACATCCATGTGGGGGTAGGACAAGGAGCATACCATTGGTAAGTCAACTACAATCCAAAGCTCAACTGGCCAGGAACTGACATCCATGTGGGGGTAGGACAAGGAGCATACCATTGGTAAGTCAACTACAATCCAAAGCTCAACTGGCCAGGAACTGACATCCATGTGGGGGTAGGACAAGGAGCATACCATTGGTAAGTCAACTACAATCCAAAGCTCAACTGGCCAGGAACTGACATCCATGTGGGGGTAGGACAAGGAGCATACCATCGGTAAGTCAACTACAATCCATGGTTAGAATTCCACAATGAATAAGTGGAGGGAACAGTGTGAGGGAGAAATTAGAAGCATCTTTTGAATACATTTGAAGGATGCCCAAACAAGGGAACCCTCTAATAAGAAGGTTATATGTGAGATACTGCACCACTTCTGTACCAGGTATACTCTTTGCCCACATGTGGAAAAGGTGTGACAGATCCAGGCGGAAAATTGTGAGAAACACACCCTGATGGGAGAGAAAACACTTGGACAGTGATCCTAACCACAATATATTATAATTTCAATCTCCCTGATGAATATGTGAGGTAGGAAAGAGGATCATATCATATCCACCTCAAGTTCAGCCGAATGGAGGGAAAATCCCATCGCCGATCTGTGAACAGGGCACATGTGAGCAGAGTGAAATATATAAATATCCCACTGAAATCAAACAGACTGGAACTATCTCAAATGCAGTAACATCCTCAGCATAAAAACATCGAGGTATAGTGCAAGAGAAAGAAGCATAGCAACTAACAAGTGCACCCATCATGACCCAAAACACTGAGGTAGTGAACTCAAGGCAAATTGAGTGAGGACTTATGTTTATTGGTTCAGATCTAAATTAAAAACTCACCTGCTGGGAACCAACATCCATGCAGGGGTAGGATGAGGGATCCCAATTGAAGGAGTGAACTGCATTTATGCCAGCACACTACATGTGTGAGTATATCATGTTGATTGGTTCAGCTCTAACTCCAAAACTCAACCACCAGGAACTGACATCCATGAGGGGGTAGGGTAAGGGATCCTAATCATTATGATGGCACACTCCAAAGCTACATCACATCGGACAAAGCCATGCAGAGATGGAATGTCCACCACCATTCTACTCTCAACTGAATGAAGTCTGTATTGTTTATATTGTATATCTCTCATTCAGGAGGATACCTCCATGGTCCACCACCCCAGTGGCTTGGAACTGGAAAGTGGTAAAGGCTCCCATATTCCACTGGAAGAAACAGGTGGGAGAGAATGTGGTGGAGAGTCCAGGGGAATGTTCACACAGGAGACAGTGCAATAGGTGACTATAAAACCCTATTTTAAAAAGCAGACCAAACCCGATTTATTCAATCTAAGAGATGGGCAGCAATCCCCTTCTGCTTTACCCATGAAGTTCAGGGATTAGTACAGTCCAGAATAGGCATACTTATGAAGCAAAGATGTCCCAAGGAATTACCTATGAGTGATCTTGTGGAGCATCCAATCTCTAGTTTATGTGATTGTAATGAATAGTGTGCATTTTGTGGCCATGAAAATTCTGAAAGTGAAGTTAACATGGCCTTACAGTGTGGGTTTTAGTACAAATCTAAGTGATTAAAGTACAGGCACCACTTGTCACAGAGCAGGATCCTGGTCAAAATATGGGACAGACCTCTGAAAAATATATATATATATATATATATATAACAAAATAAAAAAACTTACTCACTTACATACATAGAAGAGTGAAGAATGCTGATAGGTGGAAGATGGTACCCCAAGAAGGAAGAAACAGCTACTCAAAGCAGATAATCTATACTATTATTCTGCTAATTTGTATGTACGACTGTTACGCTTTCTGACTGAGAACCTGCTGCACAAGCATGCATAGTTAGAATGTTTCTCCACAAAAAAACCATGCTTAGTGCATTACTCACTCAACGACAAACAGTCTGCCTGTGGCAGAGAGCTGCAAAGCTAAGTAATCAAGTCACTACAATTGCTGTACGAAACAAGAAGTAACAACAAAAGGGGTATGTATATATACTTTATTAACCATTTTGTACAACAGAATATTAAAAACTTATCAAAGTTTTCAAAAAAGTTTGATATTAGGTCGTAGAGTAACATTATAAGTTTATTTATCGATAGTATTAAGTACAGTAAAGTTTAGTCCTAACTAAACTAAAATAAAAAAAAATACTTACACAGGTTACATTATTAATTTATCTCTTTATCGAACTTAGGCCTAACATAAGTTAAAATTTTATAAAGTATGGCCTATATACAAGTGGATTTACACATTTTGTTGTCTACGATTACAATTCATTTGTATTGTGCTATTAATGTTATATTTAAAGACGTATTGTTACGATAAAGATATTAATTTGGCTGGAAATGTTTTGTGGGTCTCTGCTAGTGGGAGATGAATATATGAGGTGTAATCCCAGTGCTTGACAGACAAAGTACCTCCAACGGATGACAGAGTTGAGATGCAGGTAAAAGGTAAGGTGCCTGATCAGAGTGAAGACACCAGGAATGAATTATGGGAAGAAGGAGACAAGGAATAAAAAGCCAATCGCATCACAAGGCAAACCCAATGGTTAAGGGAATAAGGGGAAAAAAATCACAAACAGAGGAGTGGCAAGAAATTAAAAGGACAAAGATAATATTCCACATGATCCCCTAAAGTGTGTGTTAGTAGAATTGATCTAGAATAGCACAGAGGGAGTCACACTACTATTGGTGGAGGTCTGTCACATGGTAATTTGCATGTGACAATCAGTTAAACCACGTGAACTGATGGGTGCAGGGGATTCAAAGGCTTGTGGCATGCAAAAAAAAAAATTTAAATAGGGGACAGCACTCAATGAGAATAGCTATATATGTGGACAGAAGTAAGGTTCCTTTGTCAGAACTAGTTGTTTTTTGTTTTAGATAAATGATTTATTTAATAACAAGAAGGTATTATCAGTTGATGATTTAATTTCCCGATTCTAAAGAATACTATTTTCTCTAAAAAGTACACCAGTGAAACTTATAATTTCAAAGATATTCACCCGCTCTATTGTAGTCTTTCTCAAGACCATACCCTCCTTGTCGGTACAGATCTGCTTGTCGGGACAGCAAGAGGTAGGCTGGATCATCCATGCAAGCATCAAATTCTTCACCTTCTTCCATGTTAACAGCTCTATCATACCAGTATACAGCTTCTTTCCAAGACTTCTCTCTGTAACCACCACAGTTTCATTCAACCACTACATAACTTCTTTCTGTAACCAAAGTATCATTCAACCACTACATAGCATCTTCCAAGAATTCTCTCTGTAACCACCACAATGTCATTCAACCACTACATAGCTTCTTACAAGACTTCTCTTTGATAACATTAAACCACATAACATCCTTTATCCATAACTCTCTGTAACCACCGCGCAGTATTTGATAACATTAAACCACATAAACTTTATCCATAACTCTCTGTAACCACCGCACAGTATTTGATAACATTAAACCACATAAACTTTATCCATAACTCTCTGTAATCACCTTGCAGTATTTGATAACATTAAACCACATAACATCCTTTATCCAGAATTCTCTGTAACCACCTTGCAGTATTTGATAACATTAAACCACATAACAACCTTTATCCAGAACTCTCTGTAACCACCATGCAGTATTTGATAACATAAACCACATAACAACCTTTATACAGAACTCTCTTTAACCACCACACAGTATCCGATAACAATAAGACACATAACAACCTTAATCCAGAACTCTCTGTAACCACCACACAGTATTTGATAACATTCAGCCACATAACAACCTGTTGAGTATCTGCTTCTTTCTTAATTTACCATAGAAATTCTTTCCGAGAAACTTCAGTGATACAAGTCCTTTGTCAATTAAAACTAGTTTATTCTTTCTTGATACAAACTTTTCAAGAGTATCATCAATTCTTGGCAGTGGGCATGAGTCCTTTTCTGTTATACTGTTAAGAGCCCTGAAGTTCACACAGCAACGTTGGGTCCCATTCTTCTTCGGGACTAACACGACAAGAGCTGACCAGGGACTATCTTATTTCTTGACTAACCCTCCCTTAATTAGGCCATCCATGACCTTCTCCATCTCTTGTCGCTTTGCTGGAGCTATTATCCTTGGAGGGATCTTTATTGGACGATGATTGCCTGTATTATTTATTCTGTGCTCCACAAGGTCTGTGCAGCCGAGGTCATGATCTCCTTTTGAAAAGACGTCTGGATAATTCACCAAAAGTTCCCTAACCTGAAAAGCCTGTGAA